ATACATGGAAAGGATTATAGATTTCAATCATAGCGCCATTAAAACCCTAGCTTCGCGTGTTGTAGTTTATCTTCTACGATTTTGCTTCTGCAATTCTGATTATAAAAAATTAAACCCTAGCTTCGCGTGTTTTGTTTAATTTAATTTAATAGCATCACCCAACGTGACACCCCACTTTCCAAATCTTAAATTGGTTGCAAATTGAAATTAGTTATTGATAAAACCAGCTCAATGCTAATCTTTATGCTTATGGTAGTTATCAATCTCTGATTATTTTTGTTATTTATTTTGGATGCATTATAAGTTAAATTATTAAGAGATGCTATATGGACCGTCAGTTCGAATATTCGCTTTTTGTCCACTGAAAAAAAGAGGTAGATTTTATTTCGTTATCCCTTAAGCGTACACTTTCTTTATATATATATATATATATATATATATATATATATTTATATATCATACGTCTTGTGAAGTCACTCGTTAATGTATTTATACGAAGCGAGCGTCTATATTTTAGATCTTCCTTTAAAAGATCATTTTACAAAATGTCACGCAAATCTGAAATTATATGATTGCTGAATTAAGGTTTGGATTTATTTGTAGAACCTGTATTCGTTCATTTTCTTCACTACAAATGAACATCTTAGTGATTTTGGATTTGTGTAATTTTTTGCAAGATGATCTATGAACGATGTTTTAAAAATAAACGGATCGAATCATTAAAATACATTAGAAATAAGATCCACAAAAACAAGTGTCAGATGTTAAGTAGAAAAAATGATGCCACGTATCCGCGCTATGCATATAATATATAGGTATGTATGTATAAGATAAACTAATCACTTTTATGGTGGGGTAATGGTGCTTATGTGAGCAGCTAAGATAACACCAAAGATAAGGTTTTTGTGGGCCTCCATCATGCATTGCTGCGCTCTATCTTCTTCTTGACCTCATTTGATGATAAAGTTTGATTCCACATATGCACTTAAATGGTGCTCAATGCCCTCCTTATCTATCTACTTTCTATATATGTTTAAGTCAATTTCTGGTAACCATTGTCTATGAACAATGCACACCAAATTAATCTGTACTGGATTCGAAGAATTGCCTCTAGCAATTTCGTCAAATACAATTTATGTGTACACATGTTTATAGAAAAGAAACCAGGTTGCAGATCTTTTAGCTTTATTTGGAGCAGATAGTTATGCTTATTACTGATGGTCTCTGGCTCTAGGTTTTGTAGCCCCTACCCATGCTTGTGAGTTTCGTTTTATCCTTATTATCGTTTTCTCTTTGAAGGTTTTGACATAGTCCCCTGCTTGTATTTTTATTTTTATATTTTTTTGTTTACTTTCATTATATCCATAAATTTTGGTGGAGGGGGATAGGCAGGGGTTTCTTGGTGTAACAGTCCTTACCACTTTGAGAGAGAGTAGATGCCTCGCCCATGACTATTGCTAAAGAACTAATCTCTCGCCTGATTTTTCTCCATTTGAAAAAAGAAAAGAAAAAAGCTGATATTCATAGTACAAAAATGTTATTCTTACAATCTAATTGTACTATCATTTGTCCTATCTCTCTAATAGAGATGAACCCCACATGTATTGGTGGATCTTATCTCTATTAGAAAGATAGTATAAATAATGATACAACTAGATGGTAAGCGTATCACTACTCTTCATAGTATGCATTGTTGTATGACCGAATATCTCTTTCACGAGTCATTGGAACTACTATTTTTGTTTTCTGTTTATATTACTAGAGATGGTAGTGTGTAAGACTTGAACTTCTACCATTGGTTGGAACAAAAAGCCTTCACCAAAACTACTAATTTTGGAATAAAATGGGAAATGGTAAAAAGCCAGATATCAAGTGATGGATCCCATGAAACAAAGCACTTCGAATGGAAGCAGATGTCTCTACTTCTAAACTTGGACATATATTTTTGACCTGACGGAGATAAGCGTGCTTGAATCTAAATCTGCTTTTGATTTTGTTATTCGAATCGATATGACAGTGTCCCTTTTTTTTAGGTACTTCATCACTTCAACCTTTGATATTTTTTCCGAATCTCACACTTTGGGTCTATAGATCGAGCAATCTGAAATGTTTAAGAGAAAAATATCTAAGCGTTGAAGCGAGATATTATGTGTATGGTCGACCAATAAGATAGACTGATAAAGATCGTATAATTTAAAATTAAACGGTTTGAATTCCTCGATCTTCGATATCTGAAGTTTGAGATTCGAAGAGAATCTCAATCCCAGGCAAGGAGGTACTACTTTGCATTTGGACGGTGTGATATTTCTTGACTTTTTTTTTCTTTATGTGAAGAATCATTTGGTATCTTTGTGTTCCCACGAGTGTTTTCTTAGTCTTTAAGAAAATGATGGAGCATCAAGAGAAATAAGTCACTTTTACACCGCACTATGTGATTTGCTTATTTGAAAGTTGATAAGAGATCATGAATATGAAATGGAACGGCGCACCATGTGATTTGCTTATTTGAAAGTGCTGTTAAGATAAAACGTTTTAACATGTTTGAAATAAAAAGTAATTTTGATTTAAAGAAAAATGAAAATACTTCGAAGTGCTTTCAATAAACATTTCAAATACTAATACAAATGTGCATTTTTAAAACTTTCGATGTGCGAACTTTTAGTAAATCGCTTTTGAGCCAAAGTGCCTTTTAAAAAAGCATTTCAAACAGGCCCCAGAAATAGATACATGAATAATAGTCCTACTTAAGATAAAAAAACACAATAATTCGCAATGTAACAAAATCTAATTACACATCAAAAGGAAAACTAAAGAAGCAAATACTTTTTTGTGGCTTAATTTCTTCAACTTTCTCCAAGCCTGGTTGCATATCTCGACAGCAACGTATACCTACACCTCTAGTTTTTTTGAACCCTAACAAGGAAATTCATGAACCTTGGGGAAAGAAAACACATACAAAGCCCCATGTGTGTTGTATATACGTGTGTGTAGAACTTCAATCATCCAAATCGTGTATTTTTTAAGTTATACTTTATAGAATTGAATTTTTACAAGGTTGATCTATGAATCGAAACTTACAAGGAAGATGATTCGGATCGTAGAAGTTTGATGTGATGTAGACCCCACAACTAATTTTCATTCCCTTAAATACTTTGTACGTGAATCTCCCAAAGCCATCGTATAACAGCTATGATCCCACCAGCGACCCTTGAGCTCGACACTCTTGGAATCTCCCAGAAAAAAAATTGGGGTGGGTTTTTCGGTTGTATTGAGGTAAGAGCATCCTCAATGGGCGCTTTATTCTCCATGAGGCTACCATATTTCAAGCCTTAGTAAGAAATTTTATCCCTAATGAGTCGGAAAATAGGGCTAGATCCATCACTTGGGTTAGCAATTTCCTTTCTTGAGTAGCATAAAATTGGGCTACATCTAACCCCAAAAACTAGTGGGTCCCACTAAAAAAGTAGCAACCTAGGTGAGCAAAATTCTATCACTATCACTCTCACTCTACTTACGAATACACTTATACTCATCTTTTATTCTTCTTTTAATTCTTGTTTCTTACATATTTTTCTTGCAATTTTGCTAATTAATTTTGAGAAAATTGTAGCAATGGTTGCTCAATTTTAACTAAATTGGAACAATGGTCCCTCAACTAAAAATCCATGATTAGTAGTCCCTTAACTCATCAAAACGTGCAGTTATGGTCGCTTTTGTCAACTTTGTCATGACTCATGTTGGAATGATCATTGCTATAATTGAGTTAAAGTTGAGGGATCATTGCTCTAATTGGGTTAAAGTTGAGGGATAATTTCTCCTATTGGATTAAAGTTGAGCAACCATTGCTACAATTTTTTTCATTTCATTTTTCATATTTTCGCCTTGATTCAGCCTATATGTGTGGCAAGTGACTTTAGTTGACAAAAATGACCATAGCTGCACGTTTTGATGAGTTAAGGGACCATTGGTCATGGATTTTTTTTTAGTTAAGGGATAATCGCTCCAATTGGGTTAAAGTTGAGGGACCATTGCTACAATTTCCTCCTAAAATTTCAAATTGATTTAACGTTCAAGGTATTAGTGGGTGAAATTTTCAAATATTTTTTTTCAAATATATGATAGTAACTTCCAATTGGTGCTAGGTAAATTGTTGTATTGTACGTGAAAATCAAATTATTTCAAAGGGCCAAGCAAATGTTTGTATTTTCAATGGATGAGATTGAGATAATTCTCTAATCCAACGAACGGTTCATAATTGATGAAATCTAACTTTATTAGAATTTGAACTTTTCTAGGTTGAAAGGTTCATAAAAAAAATTTAAAATAACACGTCCAAAAATCAACTTAAGAGAAGTTAACACACATTAAAAAAAATTAAAAATTAAAAAAAAAAGTTATTGCATAATCAAATTACTGTATAAATAAATATATATAACCTCATATAAAGCTAATAGCCCCTCATTATGAGACATTCTTTTATAAAGCCTGAAAAATTCCTCAAAGCTCTAAAATGAGTTATATCCACCACTTTTCTAGCCGCATAAAGCCCCACACCATGGGACGCTCAAATGCCTTGGAGGTTCACCTGAAAGCTGGCCTAAATGGTTGAGAACACTAGCTAGGGTAAAGAGCGGTGGCTGCAGTCGGCTGAAAGGTTCCGGGGTCTAGCTTTTTCTTTGCCAGATTTGGTTATATATTTTGAAAACAGAAGATAAAATATTGGTCTAATTGAATTAATAGTTCCCATACTGATAAAGTAGTTAGAAAATAGCCTTTGTGGTGAAAAAACTAGGACCTATGGTAAAATCTGTTAGAATTTATGTCCAAAATTTTACCTCGAAAATAGTAATACATCAAATTTCGGAGAGAACTTTCAGCCCGGTACATCAAGTGCAACGAAAAAAAAAAAATTTCCAAACCAATTATAATATGACAAATGTTGTACTGTACCGTGTTTGCAGCACGCTAAATGTTTTTTTCCAAATTTTGCAATATTAATCAGAAATATACTGCGTCTGATTGGTACATAAGCTTTTAAGGTCGTTTATATTGTGAAGTGTGAACTTGTCTCCAAAGATTTCCTCGACGCAAAATTCTAGTGTACATTTACACATGAAAAAGAATAACCTACCCCTACAAAAACACAATCCTCGCCGCTTGAGGTCTCTTACACGGGTAATCCAAGGACCAAAGCTGACTTCGTATCAAAAACTGTAAACAACGTTTAACTGACCTTTTTCGTGGTGAGGACCGAAAATCATTCTCCGTCAAACTGAAACTGAAACTCTAAGAAATCAAACGGTGAACTTATCGTGAAGCAGCATTCCCGTCGTTCTGATTTGGGAAAAAAAGTTGGTAAAACATTCAAAACCTGTTAGCTGATGATGAGTATATCGAGTGTGTATTTAAACCGGGCTTGTCAAAAGCTCTGTTCTTGTCCTAGTTCTTTCATCCGAACTGGCATCATTATACCGTCCACTATTGACAGCACTGGAGGATGTCTTTGTTCCTGGAGGAGGAAACGGAGAGTTACTTAACGTGGTTATATTATTCCTTTCGGACCCCTCCGTGGATGGTTCAATGCTTGATAGAATCCGCTTGAGCTGAGGGCGCTGGCAGAGTATTCGACCATTGTTCCATTTTGGGAAAGAAAAGGATGCTGGCATATTATCCTGCAGAAATGTATAGGCAGCCTTGCAATAGGTAGTTCTTGTGATATGGAGCTTTTCTCCATCTTCCCTCGTCTGATCAAATAAAAAACACATCACCCGTAGTCAGACAAGGTGAAGTATGCAATACCAATGACAAAGTTACAAAAACCCTAAATTCGATTTGTAATTCCTAAATATAGCCTTTCACGTTTTTTTATTCTCACCTACCTAGACCATATAAATCCTAGCCAAACCAGACCATATAATCCCAAAGCAAGTTTTGATCAAGTAGGCTTTTAGAAGAACATCAGAAAAGAAATTGCACAAAGGAAAGAACAGCTTACACTACGACAACAGTTGCAAGATGGGGTAGATCCTCGCCATTGAGGAACATCTCATACATATTGTTTAGCCAAACTGACATTGCTGTATATGCACCACCTTGCCACATCCTGCAAAATGGTCAACGTCAAGACTGAAATAAAGCTAAGTAAGAGAAAGACCATGTCTAGAAAGAGACAAATTCTCCAATACCTGTGCACATCAACAGACGCCACAAGTTTATTTTTACGAAAAAGTTCAGGAAAAAGCCCCCGCTGTGTTGCTTCATTAAGAACTCGCACAGCTCTTTGTTTCTGACCCAGCCACCAAAGTGCTTCCAGTAGAGTGTTGTAGAACCTCATTGCCAACCAGCATCCCTCAGATTTTAATTTGTCAAAAACATATTCTACCATCTGCCAGTTAGAGTCATCATCGTAGTCTCCCTTGATCATCTGCCCAATCACCTGATGAATATTTGATTGCCTGTTTGTAAGCATCTCATTCAGCAACTCATAGGCATCATCCCACCTGAAAGCAGGGAGCCTAAAAGGTAAGACATCACAAGACAAACAAATAAACTTTGTTTCTATAAAAGTTTCAAAATCCCATGGACCAACGATACTTATGCAAGCTTCAAAAGCAATCCAAGTAGCATTGATTTGAAAATCTCCAGTGACCGGTTGCTAAAGGCTATAAGATTAACAATGTAGTGAATGGAGAATGACGGGTTGAGCTTTAACCATACTGCACGTATTTATTGCCAGTCCTCTTAGTTGTAAGATTCTGGGATAGAGAATGTAAAGGATGTATTGTCTGAAGCAGTGCAATAACATGGATTCTTTAATAATTAAGAACTTAGGAAGACTGATTTTTCGATACTAACCTAACATAGATTAAGAACTTAAGACTGGTAGGTTAGTTACTGAAATTCAGTAATCCGAAATCCCTTACTGCCACTTCTTTTAGCAAATACATATCTTATCCATTGGCTTAAAATGGATGGTTTAATTTAACAAACGAAAGCAAAATATTGTGCAACTATTGCGTGAATACTGACCTGTCACTCCTTGCATAAACAGCAAGCATCATGCAGTAGCACATGACACTTGGTAATATTCCTGAGGCTTTAATCTCTTGGAAGTGCTCCTCACACTCATTAACAAGACCTGCAACGCAGTAAACGCTTAAAACTGCCTCAAGGGTCCACTCATCGGGTTCACATCTTGTCTTTTCCATCTCAACGTATGCCTTGATAGCTTCTTCAAATTGACCACCTTGCCTAAAAGCTTCTATCATGCCATTTACTGTATGGACATTCCTGGCAACACCAGCCTCGCCCGTTATCAACAAGACTGCTTCAGTTTCCCTGTATAATCCACCTCTTGCAAATGCATGTATCAGCGAGTTGTAGCTTTCAACTGATGGTTTGCTTCCCACTTCATTCATTATGTTGAAGGCAACAAGAGCTTCGTCATACAATGCCGCTTGCCCATACGCTTCAATAACCCCTGTATAGGCCTGGGTACTAGGCACTATTCCTTTCTCGTGCATGTGAAGTAAAATTTTCTTGGAATCCTCATGGAGTCCTCCCTTTCCACAAGCATATATCAGCCCTTCGTACGTCTCCATATTGGGCTCAATTTTCTCCTCCACCATATCATGAAACAAAGTCACTACCTCCTTAAAATACCCACCCGCCCCAAACACTTGTATGAGAATGTTATACGTAGCTGCATCTGGCACTGTATTGCTCACTTTCATCTCAAGAAAAAGCTCCCGAACATCATCATACCTTCCATGACTCCCGTACAGGTTCAACAAAATACTATAAGTGGCGGCATTTGGCATACACCCTGCTGCCTGCATCTGCCTAAACACACCCATTGACTCTCTAATCGACCCCAATTGTGCATATGCCTCTAGTAACACATTATACGACGTAATATCAGTCAAATTCCCTCCAGCTTCCATCTCTTTAAGAAGCTCCGAGACTCTCTCGAGCTTGTCCAATTTACCAAAAGCTTCAACAAGGTAACGATACGTGGTTATATCCGGAACAATCCCACCCTCATTCATAGTCCTGAACACCATCTCCGCCTCATCACCTAACCCTCTACCAGCACAAGCACTAAGCAAAGTATTGTAAGTAACAAGGTCCGGCTGTATTCCTTCGTGCCGCATTTCGGCAAACAATCCTAACAACCCTTCCCAATCCAACCCACCTCTTGCACAAGCATTGAGCACAATATTATAAGTCAAAATACTCGGCGAAACCTTATCTTTCTTCATTCTATCAAGAAATTCAAGGGAGGTTTCGTACTGACCGTTACGCCCGTAGGCATTGATCAATGCGGTGTAGCTGAAGACGCTGCGGACCACGCCCTGGCTAGGCATTTCGTCGAACACCTCGGCGCACTTATCCAGCAGCCCCTCACGGCCGAGCAAGCTGATCATTATCGTATATATGTGCTCGTTCGGCTTGCACCATATCTGGCGCTGCATATACTTGAAGAGGCGGAGCGACCGCTGCCAATCACCGCGCGAGGCAAACTCCTTGAACACCAAAGCGAAGTCGTTCAGCGACAGCTTGTTCTTGAAAATGTCGAGGCACCGAGCGATGCTTCCGCGCGGAGGGAGGCTACTGAGCTTGTTAATTAAGGTTTCGACGTCGTAGCTGTACTTCCTCTTCTCCACCGTCACCGACGGGTTCCCGAGGATGAGATCCTTCGGCTTCGCCCTGGCAGAGAACGCCAGACGACGGTCGCCGGAGAGGAAGTTATGGCGGACGGATAAGAATCTCCGGTGCACGGACGAGTCCGGGGCCTTGATGACGACGGTGAGCTGGTGGGACTTGGGGTTAATTATGGAAACTGAGGTGGATATAGGCGAAGAGCTGGAAATGGAGAGCGTGGGGGAGAAGGACATTTCGGTAATTAAGCTCGCAGGAGCTTTCGGAGCTTCGGATTGGATTTTCTCTGTGAATTTTCTCGAGAAAGTTACAGGAGACAGCAGAAGAGGAGACCGGGTGGGAAGGACTGAGCTTGAAGAAGGACACGTGGAACTGGTTGTGGATAATAGGGGGAAGAAAGCGGGAAGAGTTAGCGGGTCGTGTCAAATTTAAACCAGTTCTGTCGCACGACGCATTTCAAAGCGCTCCCTTTCCAGAGAGATTTTTAAAAAATACCACATGTTATTATATAAATTATAAAATATATGTATTAAAAAGTTAATAACTTAAAAATAAAAAATTTCACCACTTACATAAAAATGTGGTGTACCACGGATTTAGATCCTCTTTGGATCTCTTCACTGAGAATCTCGAGGATTAATGCATAGTAATTGTTTATTCAAAATTATCCGGTCATAATTTTTTTATTATATTTTTCACGCAAAACGAATTTACTTTACTTTTAAAAATATAAAAGCATTCAATTGTGGCAGCACAATCTTTGATAAACGGTTACTATGCATTGATCCTCGGATCCCCAGTGAGAGGATCCGAAAAGGATCTAAATCCGTGTACCATCCGTATTCTCGTCACAATAAAAAATTTCTCTGCACCAAACCCAAATGCCTGTCATTCAGCCACGTGTCTGCTCTCAACGTTCGCGCCTACTAGACGTCCACGTCACCACTAGTGGGACCGAAACCATGGCGCGGGACCCACAAACTACAAGGGTCGCAACTCAAAATTGCGACCAAAAAAACCGCACCGAGTATGCGCCGGGTCAGGGGTCGTGGCAAACACCCCAATTCAAGGAGGGTAACGAGGGCAAATCGGTAATATGGTAAAGACATTCAGTTCGTAACAGACAGCTGCTGCGAAGTGAGGGGGCAAACAGAAAAACGTCCGCGTCTTCTTCTTCTTCTTCCTTCTTTTTACTCAGGACTCGCAAACGACTTCGTTTTAAGCCAGTGGCGGCGTCGGGATTGTATGCATTGACGGAAATGGGCGAGTCCGAGGTTGTTATTTCGGAACTAACTACCTTTTCTTTTTTTGGTTCTATGATCTTGTATGCGTTCGGTTTGGTGTAGGATTTCGTTTGATTTATGTTTGTTGGGTTCTGGGTTTTGTATCAGAAATTGACGGCGCTGAAGAAGGCGTACGCCGAGATAATCCTCGACACGGCGAAAGAGGCGGCGTCGCGAATTGTGGTGTCGGAGAGGAAAGCTCTGCGGTTTCAGAGGGAGCTCTTTTCGGCGAAAGACGAGGCCTTTCGGATGCTTCTCAGGCTCAAACAAATGTTGGATTCCAAGGTAACATGTTTTGTCTCAAATGGGGACTATGGGATTGCTTATTTTTGGTCTGTTTGGGTGTCGGGTTTGACCGTTCTTGATTTTCTGTTGATCGAGTAATGAGGATTTTGCAGTTGGGATTGGTCAAAGTTGTGTTTTTGTGAAGTGAGTTAGTGTGAATTGTTGTTTGGTTAAGGTTGTGTTTTTTCTCAACAACATATGATCAGTTGTTTTGATGAAGGATTAGATTTCTTGTTATATTTTGTTTTCATTTGAAAGGGGATTTCTTGGAGAAAAAGACATGCTTCTTGTTAATTTACTGATGAAATTAATCGAGGGGGTGATTGATTTCGCCGTGTGTTCAGGATGACGAGGCAAAGACGATGTCTTTGAGTCAACAAGAAAAGATTGACGAACTCGAAGCCCAGCTGCAGGAAGCTGAGGATATAGTGAAGGAGCTTAGGGAAGAGTTGAGTGAAGTGCAGGCTCGACTGGAGAAGGCGAGAAGTAATCCAAGACAGTCGGATGAGCAAAATTTAGAGGGTAATACTGCTGCTCGAGGGTCGATAACATCGCAATTGAATTCAGTTTCGAATGGGACGTATAATTCTCTTAAGGATAATTACTGTGCTTGTAATCCTGATTTCGTGTCGCTAGTAATGAGAGGTAAACAGCCTGAGTTATACAGAAATGGATGCACTCAGAGAATCGCGCATTTGAAAGAAACCTGTTGGATGAAAAATTCTCTCTTTCCGGACTTGTTGATGATGGGAAGAATGGAACATTCATCAGAGGAGATGATGAACATCTGCATAAAACCCCTAAACCGAATGGTGATAATACAAATGGGGTAGAGGAGAACCCAAAACTGAAAGTGAGGCAAGCAGATTGTAGCCATATTCAAGCACCTGCCTTTAAGTCCTTCCAGAAGAAGAGAAAGAGAGCAGCTGGATTTAGGAGAAGCAAAGCTCCCTCATGCAGGTATCTTGATCCTCATCAGTTGATGGAAATGCGCCAAGTATCTGATTTCTCGTGCTCTAGAACTTCTGCTTCCTCACTCAATAGCAGTGTTCTCACAGATAATGCTTCAAAGAAGTCTGAAGATGAAGTTCAAAAAGTCAAATCATCCATTTCGATTCCAAAACTGCCCTCGGATACAACTGAAATGAGTACACAGTCCGAATGTGCTAATGTTACTGAAAATGATAGTGGTCAGAAGGCAACAATGTTTGTTGAAGAATCCAGATTGACCGGGCAGGAATGTGTCTCTGCCGAGAGTCCGGTGGTTCTGTCATGCAAAAGAGATGTTGAGAAAGATTATCCGTTACATAAGTCAAATACGAAAGTATCCAATTTAGATGATGGCACTGCTAGTCAACCTGAAAACAATAAGTTTCTCAAATATACATTCTGCAGAAAGCGCAAGAAGGGCACGCTAAACAACCCTGAAAGCAAGTCCCTTCTTGACAATGACACTTTGGAAAGGAAGACAGTCGAGGAACAAAATGGTTCTCTAGAGCCACAGAAGTCAAGCTTGTTGCTCAAATCATCTCGGGACAGTCGACGACTAGCACAAGTTGCTCGTCAGGTAGGGATAATCATAATATTAGTGTTTACTTCTTGTCATGTGTGTTTTTTTCCATGCATGTGTGCTTGTGTCACCTCTGGCTTACATTATTTGACACGAAAACTACAGGTCGAATTAGTAAAGTTATGCAAGATCCAATTGTCCTTCTGTTCTTCCCGAAAAGATTAAGTATGCCTGTGTTACCCTGAAAAATATTGTGAATTAGAGCCGAACTCAAGCTGGTTCGATGTTGAATGCTGTGTGGCGTTGCCATATCAATATCCTGGAATAAGATGCCAATGACCGTAGTTGTGTAATATCATCGGTCAACTTGTTCACATCCCCAAAAGTACTCTCGTATATGCACCTTGTTTTAGAGATCAACCTATATGTGTTAATAAGATTCAAAATTTTCACCAAGAGATTAATATCTTTTCATTAATGATCAATTACCATGTCGAATCTCCTATAAGTTTTCTTTGTCATGTTTTTCCGATGCTCGAAGATCATCTTTGACTGCAGCACACTTGTAGATTAATATCTTTTCATTAATGATCAATTACCATGTCGAATCTCCTATAAGTTTTCTTTGTCATGTTTTTCCGATGCTCGAAGATCATCTTTGACTGCAGCACACTTGTCCGTCTTGTTTGTTTGTTTCACTGACGTTTCAGATGCCTCGAAGAGATTTGCCTCCGACTTTTTTTTGGATCTCCAATGGCATTGTCCTTATCTAGTCGTCCACCCTTTATTTCACCTTGTTAGGTTGCCTACATGACTTTCACCATGTTTTCGGTTTATCCCTAATCTTCTCAAAGTTGATAAATACTCAGCCTGAGGTTTTCTTTGTTTAGTAGACGGCGTAAATGGTCTGAGGATCTTGTAGCCTTGAATAATTTACTTGTTTTGAAATTGGATGAGAACATGGGAAGAATTTTACTTACTGATACCTCCTGCATTTTCTGTTGCACAGCTTATATCTTTGTCGGAGAAGAAGTGGTGGCAATAGAGATATCGATGGACTGCATACCAACGGCGAGGATTTTGACGTCGAGTTAGAAACAAAACCAGATCATCTTCCTCTGCAACAAAGACTTAGAAGAATGGATAGAAAGATCCATTGTCGAGGAACAAGTGTAGATTCCTGAGTTAGTAATAACATATACCATATATATAATTGAAGGTAAAATGATTGGTTTTTTTTTTTTATATATAATTGGGATTTACCTCCTCTCTTACTCGTTTTGGTAATTAGATTTTGGAAATTACTCATTTGCTATGCATCCACAATGAAACGGTGGCTTACTAACCCGAGCAGCTTAGGACATACATAATTCACCTATACACCAAACGGTTGTCAACAGACTATAGCACTTTTACAAAGTCTTTGAGGCTTTTTATGTTGGAAGCACTTCTGTTCATAAGCGTTTCAGCTAGAAGTGTTTTTATTCTAAACACATAGCAATTTAAAAAGCTCGGATTTTCCAAAGAAAGATCATAAGGTGCTTCTCCTAAAATCACTTTCACAATGCATAAAGATTTATATTTTTTCAACTAAACATAATCAAAAGCATTTTTTTATTATCATAAAACACTTTTAGTCGTTCCAAAGCCAATTCCAAACAAACCCTTCACTAGTACGACGAGGAGCTTGCACGCCTCGCACTCACGCACAGACGATACCAAAAACTAGCGGGGGGAGAGAGATGGGGATAGTAAGCAAGGCAGGGGATTGGGCATTCAAGGCGTTCACGGCGGGGCTCGGCGTCACCAACTTATACCTCGCCGCCACTTTCTCCGCCAATGTCTACAAAGGCCTCGCCTGGCACAAAGCTCAATCGGTAACTCTTGACACCTCTCTGTCTCTCTCCAACTAGGTTTTGCTTTATGTTCTCAGTTCCTGTGATTTGTTAGCTATGTGATCTTGTACGAAGCATGAAAGATCGTCCCTTTCTGTTTAAATTTTGTAGCCATTTTCGATAGTAAAAAGCTTTTGAACCCATTCACCCCGGCGCACCAGTAAACAATAGGTCTCCGCCTTGCTTTGTTCAGAATAGTGGCAATCCAATGTGAAAGACGGCGTAAATTAGAGAAGGGTTGGTTTGGAAGTGTTTTAAAGTGACTGAAAGCGCTTCCAGAGCACATAATTGGTGCTTCTTGCATGAAACACTTTAAGTGTTTTTCCAAGATTCACTTATATTTTTATTGAGGATTGGTTCCAAAAATATTTTCACCAAAAACGCTTTCAGCTATTTCAACAACACTTCCAAACAAGCTCTAAGTCAATACTAGTTTATGCGGTGAATTTTGTATTGGTTGAAGTGCAATTGGTGTGACTGTTATCCCATTCCATTAACAAAATGGACAACTGCTTCTGCAATATAAGAAGCCAAGAATACCACAACCCTATTAGATTTGTACATCCTTTCGATTGAAACATGCGATAACGCCCCAATTTTCATGGAATAGATTTTCGGAGTTGTGTCCAAGTGCTTAAGATGCTCTTCAAATCTATCGAAGTGTTCTCTTCTCATCAAAACTGTGAAAACAATATTGTTGACAATATAAGGGCTTGTTCGGAACTGTCTTTAAAATAATTGAAACCGCTTATAGAGAAAATGTTTTTAGATTTCAAAAGCACTTAAAGTGCTTTCTGCAAGAAGTAATAAAGTGCTTCTCTAGAATTCACTTATAGAGAAAATGTTTTTGGATTCTAAAAGTACTTAAAATGCTTTTTGCAAGAAGCAATAAAGTGAAAAAACTAATTATAACTCTCTTAAGTTTATGATAATTATAATCAAAAGTCGAGATGAAAGTACTAAATACTTTTAATAACTAAAAAACTTTCTCATTTGCTCTTAGCCGTGAAAAAACTAGGAGTGCCACGGTAGGCACCGTCAAGCTTCACTTTTCTACAATTCATGCATCGCCAAATTCCATCTGTCTTTCTCTTCCGTGCGTACTTGCCACAAAAGACTCTTGGTCCTCAGTTTTGGGGAAAACCTCGTTTGAAGGGTATATTAATACTTTTATATTAATTTTTTTTGTATAATTATAAAAAGTGGCTATAATTTTATTTTTCCAAAATTCTCTATTTCATGTGACTGAGTTTGTCTAGAATTGACCGGTTTATAGCATAGATTGAGATTCTATAACCGTCAATAACTATTGAATCCGATCCATGCTATGAGCCGACACATTCTAGAAATTTTTCATATACCTCCCCTTTTAAAGGCATAACATGATGTTGCAAATACTTTTAAACAGGCTTAATTATTGCGTTGCTTTATTCGTAGATCAAACTGAATGGGTCGGTCGGGTCGGGTCGCACCCCGAAACAAACAGCCATTTCAAAAAGTAAAGAATTCATCTTCATCATCGCATCTTAAACTCTTTCAGAGCAAGTAATGATCAGTAAGAAAGCTACAACTTAAAAGGAATGAAGGCCCTTCACTATGAGAGATTTTTTCAATGTACTGGGAACAGAGCCCGGTACACTTCTCGGCTCTCTTACTCTACGACCCCTCTGTACACAATACATTCTCTGCACCAACCACCAAGAAAAATGGCGTTTGATGATATACCACACTCCTTTGAAATCTTAATACAAATAACAAAGAGAGGTGCAGGGAATGAAGAGAACACAAAATATTCTTTTTCGTATCTTCGTTTCACCGCATGAAAGAATACTATCGCCGGTGATTTGGCGGAGGCTGCTATCCGAGAAGGCAAAAACATAGCACAAACCTTCGGATTGCCTTGATCATATCGGCATCTAGTGATAGCAACCAGGCCAACGATCCAAACACTATGAAAATGACATCAGAAATGCGATGAAAATCTTGTAAGGTACCTCTGAATCCAACTCGCTAGTGACGTGTGGCATCTGACTATACGCCTTGAGTCACTCCGAATCTCTGCCAAAGGGTTTACAATGAACCCACTCCTATCCTGGAGCTGAAACCTAAGGTTCTCCAATGCTTCAGCATTGCCACTGTCATCTGCTCTGTAGCGCATGGCTACCACCGGTGCAATGCCCCTGGAATTAGGAAGCCCTGGCGTTGAGTACCTGCCTTCTGTTTTCCTCCAGAACTTGGAACTCCAAAAATCATGCACCAGGTAGCAGGCAACACGAGCTGCGGCGTGACTTGACTTTGGTAATCCTTCCACTTGACAAAGCCAAATCATATGAGATCCCATCCAGTGCTAGCTCTAGCCGTTGTACACGAGTCTCCAACGAATGCATTCCAGCTTGCGAGTTGCCCATGAATTTCTAATGTAAGAAGTGAAACGAAGAAAATGATTAGCAGCAGCCCTACATCAAAATGCACTACAAATTCACGGATGAGTACTAGCGTAATACATTAGTTTCGATTCAAGAGTTGATTATACTTCTTCTTTACAACGGAGTAAATCATAATATAGGCATATTTCGAGCTGCAATTATCCAGGAAAATAAAACAAATTACTAGAGTAAACTCGATTTTCAAGCAGCAGAAACAAACCTGCACGAGATCAAGTAAACTGAACTGCTGCTTTTCAATCTGAAGAAGTTGATTGCGGATCCGGGATAAATCCTCGCATTCTCTGTGGTTCTTATGATTATCCTCGGTAACATTACTGACAACAACGGTAGATTCTGTCCTCTCCTCATGATACGGAGCCACACGAGATCCTGACCTTGACCCACCAACTTTGTGCACTTTGTTATCAGAACTCCTACGGAACAAGGTACGTTTTGTGTTCCCATTGATCCTTCTTTCTGGGATATTCTCATCCATCTCCTTAAAACCGTCATCAAAAGCCCCAGCCGATGAGGGAGCGCCAAGCGCACTAATCTCAGCTTCCCAATCTGAAGGCTTCTTACGGTCTGGTTTCCCTAACGTCCCTGGATTCGCCTTCTTGTCCGTACTCTTCAAAGTACTTGTCTTCGTAGCAGTGGTAGCATAAGAACTCTCAGGCGGAGTTGATCTGCTAGCCGAGGTAGCTTTCTTCTTCAATTGAGTAGCTCCGGAACCAGGAGCATCGCTGTTTCTAGACCTAACCGGATGGCGTCCATCACCATCACTTGCATTCTCTGGATCCATCAAAGAACCTGAAACCAATATCGAAAAACAGAAGAACATCAAATAAAATCACTTCAAAGACTAGAAAACCTACTAATCCAATGAATTTACATAAAACTAAGACCAATTAATCAATGATTCAAATCTAGTAATACCTTTGGAGGAAGCATTTGATCGCGGCGGTGGGGAAGCCTCGTCGGAGAGATCGGGAATCTTCTTCCAAGCCTCCATCATCTGATTCATAACCTCCCTAACACTCTTCACCTATCACACATAATTAAAAATCACCCACATTAACAATTAAACAAATTTAATTACGCTAAAAACTCGATAATTAAATAAATTTATCAATTAAAACAAAAGAATTAAAATTTACTCTATCAAACTTCCGATTCTCGAACGTTCTCAAGGACCCAGCTTTGAACTCCGACAACGTGTCTCTCTCCACAACCGCCAGCTTGGCAAGCGCTTCCGCCGCGGCCTTCCTCGCGGCCCAGTCCTCGCTGCTCAGGAACCCGACGAGGCAAGGAACCAAGCTCCTCAAAGCTCCGTGACCCGACGCCCCACCCGACGCGATCACCGACCCGATCAACGTCAGCACCGCCGGCTTCGCCTTATATCCGTCGCACTTTATCAGCTTCTCGAGCCTCGGTAGCAGCCTCCCCAGCTTCGTGGGTTCCGGGTCGGGCGCGGCGTCGATGCCCGACGCCAGGCAGAGGGCCGACCCGATCTGCGAGTTCGGGTCCTGCTCCGTGAAAAGCGCGTCGGTTAGCGGCTTCAGAAACGAGCCGAAAGAAGAGGGCTTGGTGACGTGGCAGGAGAGGGAAGCGACGGCGTTTTGGCAGGCGGATCGGACGGCGGAGTCCGGGTCGCGGAGCCGCTTGGTGATGCTGGTGAGCATTTTGGAGAGGTACGGGGACAGCGAGTCGCCGTGAGTTTCAGAGAGGACGGTGATGAGGTGGACGCATTGTCGGCGTACCGGAGACTTGTCGGAGGCGTCGGTGGACTGGATGCAAGAAAGAAAAACGGGTACGGATGTCGGTTCGAGGGTCCGGGCGATGGATTGGAGCTCGGAAGCTGCAAGCGAATGAGTGTCACGGTCGGAGAGCTTATTCAGGCAGGTGAAGACCCGGTGCTTGAGGTTCTGGGCGGGAGGCATTGTAGATAGAGCTGTTTTGGTGGAGTCGGGTCGAGTTTACGAGTCCGGCGGCGGAGCTTCCGGAATCTCCAGCAGCATTGCCGGAGGAGCTGACGGTGGTTCGGTCGGTGTGTGTTTAGAGAGAAAGGTGGTTCGAGGCTCTGTGCTTTTAAACCGAAAGAGAAGAGGAGTCGGTGTACGGAACTTTTGACGCGGGTAATCGCTACGGTGTCGTTTCGGTTAGGGAGGCAGTCGTTATTCGTTAATTACCAGTTTTTCACTTCACTCAAGGATGTTTAGTCATTAAACCTTGCTGGATTACCAAATCACCCTTGATTATGTTTACTTGGAACATGGGAATCGAATCGAGAAGTCAAGAATATAGGAATGCACTTGACTATGGCCTCGTTTGGCAGCTCGGACTGTACTGACTATTTCTGTTGGATAGGATAAATAGTCATCGGATAGTACTGACTAAATTAGTCGGATGTTTGGTGCAGTATCGGACTAGTGACCGTAGTATTATACTAGATAGGAGGAATCAAACTTAAAAAAAAAAAATTTTAAAAAGTGAAATCATTTTTTTGTTCCCAGATCTCTCCGCACCCCCCAAACACCCTCCCTCTCTCTCCCTTCTTCTTCCCCGACTACAGAAGAATCCCAAATAATTGTTCCCTAGCTCTCTCCGCCACACCCCCCAAACTCCCTCCCTTTCTCTCCCATATTCTTCTTCCCCGACTAAATAATCCGGGCGTTTTGGTTGGTTTTATTAAGCGGGTGTATACCGTATTATCCTATCCGACCAGTTAAATTAATCCGGCGCTTATTTAGTACGAGTGAACGCCAAACACCCGAGTCCGTATAACTAATCCTATCCGATCCTTTATCCGATCTGCCAAACAGGGCCTATATTTCCGAATCAATCTAATATTTAATTTTGCGATCGGGTATTAGATTACATATTGTATTGTGAGGGTTTTATTTTTTTTATTTATCCAGCATTCTGTTTTTCGGAGAAGTCATAATTATAGAGGACAAAAAACGAGAATGCAATCGACTATATCTCCAAATCAATCTAGTACCTGATTCAGAGATTGAGATTTAGATTAGGAATTGTATTGTGAGCCTCATTTATTTATTTATCCGACATTCTATTTTTTGGAGAAGTCATGAACGTAAAAGACAAAGAATGAGAATGTAATCGACTATATCTCTAAGTCAATCTGGCATTTAAATCGAAGATCGAATATTAGATTACAAATTGTATACGCGCATTAAAACATTAATATTAGCGTCTCAGTTAATAAAATACCATTCAAAACGGGTAAACATGTCACGAGGTTGTAGCCCGAAATTGACGATTGTATGAGGATGAGTACACGTGAGCCCGACATCGGTGTTAGATGCTGATTGGTCCAATTGGGGAACTTTAAGAATGGGAGGGATCTCAGGTGGAAGGACCACGGTGGTCCGGGGGACGGGGAGAAGTAAAGTTGGGGACAAGAGAGCACGTGACTAATTATAACACCGGCTGTAAATGGCGGGTTAATTTTGGGCCTAGCATTAAGGTTGTCACGTGACATTTGCCGGGGTTAATTATGCCAAAGTTACTGTGCACTGCCGACAATTTTTACTGTTAAAAAATGATAACTACTTGAAGCGAATTTTCTGGTAGTGCATCCGATTCAACTAAATCATAACGGAGTGCATAGTGGTTAACGGAGAGTTTGGTTTACTTGATCATGCTTAAGAACTAATTAATTAATTAATCAAAATTTTGGATTAATCCTTTATTTGTTGCACCTAACAAATAAGAGAGATGTTGAACTAATTAAAGATTCAATATGATAGCATATTAGCACGAGAATACATACAAAATTATAAAATTTCAGATCATGTACATCGGATAATAAGAACGTATTGATTTCTTATTTCAAAAAGAGATCAGCTGCTGGTTTCGTCACGTCAATCCACCTTTTCGAGGACAGGAAACTCACAAAGGCATTACAGCTATAATATCCATAGTTTTGGTATTTTTTTGTACAACGATATTCTACTTTAAAAGAAGTTGGATTAGATTACGTCACACAATGAACTAGTTGTTAATAGGTGTCAAACTCGTCACAATATTATCCTTGTTCGTCATTCATGTAAGATGACCATGACATATTTTATTTATAAGTAAATAAGAATACCATTAATCGTAATACTGATTGTTATATTTATGGTGCTTGACAACAATTAGTGGACCAACAAAATCAAATCAGGAATGCAATTTGTTAATAATTGTGGGCCAACTGGCCAAGAAATGTGTGCTTTCGAACCGTACAGTAAAATATGGGTCTCAACCTTTCAACCTCTCCTTACCTACCTGCCTAATTAACCAGTTAACCCCTCATTGGAAAGCTAAATGGTTCTGAAGCAAAAGAACTGATTACTTCAACTGGATGAACGGCAATGATTGTGGACAAGAAAGAATAAAATTACAAGTTACGTATTTCTTGCAGAAAATATTTTAAATGGTTTTAAAATTAAAAAATATTATTGCTAAAACATTTTCAGTTTTTTAAAAATACGTGGCATTTGAATTTCAATTTTCAATAAATCCTAAACCAGCTTTTATACTTGTAGAAGAATTGTCTTATCTCGGTTTTATACACCAAATGTGTGTCAGTTTGTGCACGACACATACACGACTGGTGCATGAAACCGAGGTAATCAAGTTTTCATCTTATATAAAAGGTGCCATACAAGCAAAATTGAATGTATGATTGTGGGGACGATAAGGACAACGCACCATACCTTAACGTGTTTTCTAATGTGTTGACTGTTGATGCACAAAACTCATCCGTATGTCTCTCATGCAGAGAACGAGAACTTTGGTCTTGGCTCAATTCAGTGAATTCTATTTGCAGGGTGCAGGCCATGTGCAATTTGCTTTGTATGTAGCGCGACAAATAACATGAAGTTTCCAAGCTCAAAACATATATATGCGGTTTAAGTATTCAAGTAGTAATATATTATAATATATATGTGTATATATTATGTATATATGTTATATGTATGAGATTTTACATAAGTATAACCTGAACTTGAAAGCATGCAAGCTAGTACCACTTGAACCTTCAATGGTAATTTTTAATGACTTAGACTCTCTTAACTGTTGAAATACGACATATGTTACCTTCCATTCATTTTAGTTAAAACATGTCACTTGCCTCTTATAGAGAGGGATATTTTTGTCAATCCACTTATTAGGGCTTGCTAGATTCAATTTACGAAGGAAAAGGGTAATTTTTTGGAGCGTCGTTGGAGTTGGATCATGAAGCGAAAGGGAAAAGTTGATTTCGGAATTAATTTTTGCCAAAAGTTGTTGAAGAATTAAAGTGAATATTGATTGCTGGCATCTATCTTGGCATTAAGTGAAGAAGGGTAGAGGATAACGAGTTCAAGCATGTCATGTGCCTCTCACAGGGCGGGATATTTTTGTCAATCCACTTACTAGGGCTTGCAAGATTCAATTTATGAAGGAAAAGAGTAATTTTTCGAGCGTCGTTGGAGTTGGGTCACGAAACGAAAGGGAAAAGTTGATTTTGGAATTAATTTTTGCCAAAAGTAGTTGATGAATTAAAGTGAATATTGATTGCTGGCATCTATCTCGGCATCAAGTGAAGAAGGGTGGAGGATAACGAGTTCAGATATGTTGGGAAGCCCCAAGTTGTGTGTATACAAACCATATACAGGGAATGCGGCAGATACTGCCAAGAACAAAACATTCTTTTGGTTAGAGTACTGCCTGCTGCCATGCTTGTTTGTCACGTGAAAATTTTTCTTATTTTTCATGTAGATTAATTGGACACATTAATATATATAGTCAATCTTATGATCATTAGGATCTTGATGCCGCGTCAATCTTATGATCATTAGGATTTTGATGTTGTGTTGTGTTATTCACACATCATTTTTAGCTTTTATACATTATTTTAAATTTTTGATTATCGAATGAATTGAAAAAGATAAAAAAACAAAAATTAACATAACGATAACTTATGTATGAATTCTTTTTCCTAAAAACCTTCTACTTCTTTTTTAACTCTTTCACATAAAGTACGAGAATTTATAATATCGTAAGATCTAAGTTTTGGGAATTTTGTTGTGGTGGTATATATCATTTTGCTTTAATATATAGGTGGGTGACTTAGAATTAAAGACAAGACTTTGATTGGACTTATAGGTGTGCAATGTGCATGTTCCAAGGTCATCATACCACATGGGATGTGGACTCAAAATTAGCTTGAGTGGCATTATAGCCATTAAAATTATAAATTATTGTATCCTATATATATGTATCATCTTTCGTGATTCACAACTTTTTTCTTTTTATAAAGGAATTAGTTGGTGGCTTCGTCAAGGTAATGCATTTTTTCAGGGATTAAGAAGATTCACAAAGGTATTCTTACCTTCGTCTAGCCACCATTTTGTGATTCACAATGCAGGAATCAAACTCAGAATATACCGTGTAAAATATAGGTCTACAGTTTGTCATCGACTACTGAACCACCATGGTGATTATCATTCATAACTTGTTTCTGTAATGTGCCTTCAAAATAAGGATATCATCGGATTCAACACACCTCATAATTCCACATGCAAAGGAAAAGGACAATTAGGTGGTGGCCTTTGGCTTCCAAAGAGAATGAATTAAAAGAAAGAACAAAATGTCCTTGGCACCATCTTAGAGTCTTCATTTCTTCGCATTTTTTGGGGTTTAATTAGACCTACTTATTTGATTTACCATACAAAATATCAGATAAAACAGTGCGTGGATGATTAATTTGAACAATCTCACTCATTTGATAAAACAATGTGTGAGAGACCAACTCCAGCATAATTCATATTCATATGATAAAACAGTGCTTGAGCGACTAAATTCAACAGTCTCACCTAAATTTGTGGTTTGTATAATCGTATTAGGTCTAAACATTATTTTTGTTTGCTACCCACTCATAATGGGTGGGACGTTCCTACTAACCCGAGTGGTTTAGGACGAGCTTAAAGTGACTTCGCAACAACAATGAACAAAATTAAAACACCATGCCTCACTTGA